CCTAGGGTCCTGGCGGCCAACGAGCCCAACAGGAGCGAGCAGGGGGCTGGGGGGCATCACCAGCAGGGATACAGGAGCCCTCATCCCCCTCTGCTCAGCGCTGGGCAGGCCACACCTGGAATCCTGTGCCCAGTTCTGGTCCCTGCTGCACAAAACAGAGTGGGCAGGCTGGAGGGGCCCAGAGCAGGGCCACCGAGGGGATCCAAGGGCTGGGAAGCCTCTCTCAGCCGGATGGGGATGGGCTGGGAGAGCTGGGTTTGTTCAGCCTGGAGCAAAGGAGGCTCCGGGGGGATCTCATCACCACGTCCCGGTGCCTAAGGGGGGGCGACAGAGAGGATGGAGACTGCCTTGTCACAAGGAGTCCCCTGCAGAGGACAAGGGGGCATGGACATGAGTTGCTGGACAGGGTGCTGGGCCATCTTGTCTGGACTGGGCTCCTGTCTGGGAAGGTTGGGCCAGATGAGCCTGGAGGTCTCTTCCAACCGGGTAGGAATTCTGGGTCGGAATTCCATGATTCTACGATTCAACTGGCTCTCTTTTGCACCGAAGGAGACAGACAGGTTGGTCCTGGAGGGTCTCTGGATCAGCAGCACCTTTAACCAACTCTGCAGCTGCTGCTCCTCCCTTCTCCCTCCACCCCGTCCCACCGAGGGGCAGGCGCCGTACCTTGAACACCTCCTTGACGGCGTGCATGAGCTCCGGGCCCACCCCGTCTCCGGGCAGCATGGTGACCTGGAACGTGCCCTCAGACTTGGCATTTTCTGACTGCACAGAAAGCAAAGAACAGTCAGACCTGCTGCAGCCCAGAGCTGATCCACACAGGACCCCAACCCGCAAGCAGCAGAGGTTACTTACAGTGTGAAGCGTATCTGCACCCGTAGCATGGGGTTTAGTAACAAAAATCTACTGCAGCACCAACAGCGTGCTGGAACTTACAGAGCTCCTGTGCTGTTAGGAACGCAGTGCGCAGCAGAGCCACCCGACACCCTGCGATCCGCCGGCAACCAAAGACCCTCCCCTCAAACAGCACTTCCAGGTACAATCCCTCCCTCTGGACAGCAGAAATCCCGACCGGGAGCGCAATCTCCCGTTATTAGATCCTTAAGGTCCCTTCCAACCCGGTATTCTATGATTCTGGATTTTCCCTCATCTCCACTTCACGTCCTCAGGATCTCCCACACCTCCCCGTGCCACGGGCTCGTCTTCCTGTCTGCATTCACGCCGCCTCGCAGCTTTTTGTTGAGCGTGCTTTTTTGGGGCTTGTTTTTCTTTTGGTCCTGAAAACAATACCAGTCTCAAAGATAATTCTTGAGACGCTCCACAGGCGATCCACCTCCAAATCAATGCTGCCTCCGCCCCCACCATAGCCAGCTCCTATTTTCACGCAGCCCTTTTACTAATCCCCATCTTCTTCAGCAAGTAATTCCCCGTACAAAGCTGACCTCCAGGCACAGGGTTTCACAGAACCAGCTGCAGGGAGCAGCCACAGTCAGAAGCAAGAGTGGCACCCCACAACTCAATGGGACAAAAGGAGTAAACAAGCAGCGTCGCCACATGGCGTGGGAAATGCTCGCATGCCAGTGATGTGAAGCGTAGATCACGGAAAGGCAAAATGAAAGAGCAAGTGGGAAAACAAAGATTAGACAGGCGCTGCTTTTGATTTTTAATATCTCAGGGCAGAAAACCTCACCTACCTAAATTTCAAGAAGCAGCAAAGCATCTGCAGAGGGAACTGCAGCGCGGGCCCCAGCTCAAGGTCAAAGGAACGGTCTCAGGCTGAGCCCTTCCCTTCAGCATCTTAAATACTAACACACGGCGTCTTCGCTTACAAACAGGAACGCACCACCCCGGGCTGAACGTGACACGCACGATGTTAATTCGGTACCTGGCCCTTGGGTCGTTTCTTCCACCCTTAGTTCCACGGAAAACAACTCATCTCTCCACCATGACTCCCATCTCCTGACCACACAGTCTGAATAACACCCGCATGCGCTAAGTGACCGCTCGCTCTCACCTTACCCAATCCCTAACAATCGTCGCACGTTATCCCCTGTATTATTTTCTGGGAGCTACAGTGAATTTAGGATTGAATGGCAAGGACTGGATCAAAAGGATTTTCACTGCAGCAATCAGTGCTGCACTCTGGCCAGCGGTTTTAGCTATACCGGCAGAAAAACGCTCGCCATCGCGACGCTGCCAGCAAGCCTCTGCACACAGGGGAGGCTGAGCCGGGAGCCAGAGAGCAACCTCCGAGGAAGGGGGGAGCGAGGCTGGGGAACACGCTGCTCT